GGGGTCGTGGGAGATTGCTGGCTTGTATAGATATCTGATACCTGAAGACTGTAAAAGGTCTGAAAGGATTAATAAAGGTCCTGTATATACAAATAGACGCCTGATCATTTGTAGCCAGTAGCCAAACTACTACTAATCACTTAATGTGGCGTGATGTGGACAGGGTTCAAACACAACTCCTCTTCCTCTACCCCCGTTCCTCCTCTTCTTCTCCTGCAGGCGTCGGACCGGGAGATTGTGTGGGTGATGAGGATCACTATCTTCGTGTTCGGGGGTCTGGCCACGGTGATGGCGCTGGTGACGGGCACCGTGTACGGCCTGTGGTACCTGAGCTCCGACCTGGTGTACGTCATCATCTTCCCCCAGCTGCTGAGCGTGCTCTTCATCAAGGGCACCAACACTTACGGCTCGGTGGCCGCCTACCTCTTCGGCATGGTGCTGCGCATCGGCGGCGGGGAGCCCTACCTAAAGCTGCCCCCCTTCATCTACTACCCCGGCTGGAGCCTGGAGCAGCGCGTGGACCGCCTGACGGGCGCCATGGAGGAGGTGGTGGTCCAGCGCTTCCCGTTCAAGACGGTGTCCATGCTGGCGTCGTTCCTGGGCAACGTAGGCGTGTCCTACCTGGCCAAGTACCTGTTTGAGAGCGGCAAGCTGTCGCACAAGTACGACTTCCTGGATGCTGTGGTGTCCAAGCACAGCGCCGAGATCATGGACAAGACCACGCTGGTCGCCAAGGGCAACAACATCGGCCTGTCGGAGATGGCGCCGGTGAAGCCGCGGCTGAGCGTGACGCTGGCGGCCGCATTCACGCGGCGCGACACACTGCCCACCGAGATGGTGGAGGAGGAGGAGGACGAGGAGTCCAGCCCTGACTCCTCCCGCCATGACGAGGAATGAGCGTGTGTGTGTGTGTGGGGGGGGGGGTCACTATGGAAACAGACTGGTTCTGGAACCATCTTCCCTGGGATCACCTGTATATAATATACATATATATACTGTATATATAAGTATATAACTATTATCATCTCCATGCCAGGATATACTCTGAGCCAGATGGACAACAGTCTGTAGCCCACATCACAACACACTCTCACACAACATACAACATACAACCCACAACACACAACACACAACACACAAACATACAACATACAACACACAACACACTCACACAACACACATAACACGCTCACACAACACACAAACACACAACACATTAAACACCTAAACACATTGAATAAACATCACATCACACACGCAACACACACAATCCTACAAACACACAAACACATACAACACACAGCACATGTTAAACACACACAATACATTTCACATTTACATGGCACACAACAAACAAACAGAAAATGCAACAACGGTAAAAAGCATCGACACACACACACATGTAAAACACACAAACAGACACACACACACCTCCCATCATATAACATCATAGTGTGTATCGCCCGCCTGGATCAGATCAAAGACATAGAGACTCTCAGAGATACTTGTCATCTCATCCACTTTGTTTCCACCAATCACACAACACCACCGGGGAGAGAGACCAGACCCCAGGAGCAGAGGAGTTAGGAGGGGGGGACGAGAGCAGCCCCTGTCTCTCTCTCGCGCTCTGAGCAGGTACGTAGAAGGACTGTCTGTCTGTCTGTCTGTCTGTCTGTCTGACAGAGCTCACCTCAGAAGGACTCTGTAGTTGTCTGTTGGACCAAAGCAATAAAACTTGTTTGAATGCAATTCCCGACAGCAGAGAAAGGAAGGACCTTGCTGTGTTGTCATTCACTCACGTTGGTAGTACTTCTATTTTTTGAAAAACAAAGTCTTTATTAAACTCCATATTTTAGAATTGCGCTAAATGGAATCACTTCAAATTAATTATTTTTTTGGAAGAATATAATTATAATATACACATATCTTCTATGTTATATAATATATATATATAGTGTATATAAATATAAATTGACCTTGTATATGGTTGAACTATAAAAAATATATCTTATCCGTCCATCCAGAAAAATAAAATAAGCCTGAAAAGAAAGGACATGTTTTATTATGTTGAGTATGTATTCCATGCAGATGTATCTGAGCGTATCTGAGTGGGAGCAGGCGTCCATGCACCAGGCTCTCTAGGACATATAGTCGCCGTAGTGTTGGTAGTTTTTGTGAAGCTCTGTAACTGTTTAAGAAGAGAAAGGCCTCACAGCAGACTCATATTTTAAACTCAATCATATGTGAATCAATGTGAAATAAAAACACAAGGTTTTCCTGTGAAAAAAAGAAGCTGCCTTAAGGAAAATATTCAAATGTATTTTTCTTCTTCTCTCTATCGTCGACTGTACCGTTGAAGTAGGTTTTTAAATTCAGTGAACAAAGGCTTTTAAATGAATGTAATGGTCTTATTGTGTTTGATGGTGTACGTCCACCTTTGTGCGTGTGTGTGTGTGTGTTTAAGTTTGTGATTTGCAAAGTCAAACACGAAGTGTCACAGCAAAAAGACAGATTTTCAACGTAGAAATATCATGTCACTTATTTGTTGTCAAAGCAATGTACAGTTTATTTTCTCTGTGACGTGTGTATTTATATACATGTGATAAAAAAAAAACATCAGGAGTATACAGTAAAAAAAAATGATGCCAATTAAAATTCTGAGCTAGATTATCGAAGGCTGTCTAGTTTATTTTTGATGTCCTATAAGAATAATCAATAAAAAAAAAAAAAAATTATACACACGTTTGGTATGTTTTGATATGTTAGGTTGCTGTGTTGTATTAAAGGGACGGCACAACTGTGATTCAACATGAGTCAACAATGTTTCACCTGACCCATAGTTTTTGTTTGTTTATGTATTTTTGTGCCTAATATTAGTATAGTATTAGTATTAGTATAGATAGTATTAAGATAAATATAAGATAATATTGCATCTATACATCCCATGGCTTGGCATTTTGCAGATATTTCTGTCAGTTTGTCGGCATGTTACTGTCATTCTGTATTAGGCCATGTGATCTGTACAGATGAAAATATTGGATTTGTTCTTCAAATATGTTGCTGTTTTACCATCAAAGTTATTTCTTCAAACGCATGAGAAAATGAATGTGGGGCCCTTTTGATGGTGTCCAGGGCCGGACCCCCGCAGCCCAGGGAGGAGGACAGGGAGGGAAGGGAACGTGACTGATATTACGATCGCTCGGCTGGTGTCTTTGTCCGCCATCATGGCCGCAGTGAAAAGAAAGCGTCTTAAAATAGCTCTAGCGGGTTATTTACATTACCTTGAGTGCTGTTAACTCCGGGGGCGGGGGGGGGGGGGGGTCGTGACGGGGAGGGGGATGGGGCGGAGTTTGCCGGTGGTTGCCGGGATGGATGCATGCAGAGGCGGGAGCGAGGGGAAAGGTGGGGTGAGCGTTGGGGGGGGGGGGGGGTGTGGTTGCGTAGCTCGTCGGCACCATGGCCACGATTCAAGGAACCGACCACCATGCGCACTGGGGGGGGGGGGGCGGGGGTGGGATGACGCACATGCCCCTCCCCTTCCCCTCCACCCCAGCTCCTCCCCTCTCAGCCCCGCCCGGCCCCACCCATGTATGGCGGTGTCCTTCGTGTGCCCTTGGGCATTCGGGGACCATAGCTCGACACGCGATGGAGACGGCGACGAAGACGATGACGAAGACGGCGAGGGGGAGGAGGAGGGGGACCAGAGCGTCCTGTTCTCCATTCATAGGAAGTACAACACAAAGCACTCCTCATAATGAACCATCATGACAGAACCGGCCAGCAGCCAACAGACAATCCACTTACTGAGAGCGGGTGGGGTGAGGAGTGTTGTAGGAGGAGGGGTGGGGTTAGAGGTCCTGGGGTGTAGGGGGGGGGGGGGGGGGGGGGGGTGGGGGCGGGTGGAGGTAGTGGAGAGCATAGCAGCAGCCATTGAAGCTGGTATCTGAAGCCAAGTCATTCATTCATAACTCCAGGATGGACTCAGATGGTCTTCATCTCTGAGGTCTTCAGGTCTGCTGCTGAGTTGCTGCTCAGTGACTTGGTTCTTGCTCGGTTTGTGTCGGGACACTCGCCTCCTCCTCCTCCTCCTCCTCCTCCTCCTCCTCCTCCTCCTCCTCCTCCTCCTCCTCATCTCCCTCTCCCTCCTCCTCCTCCTCCTGCTCCTCCCTCTCCTCCTCCTCTACAGTAGTGATGGGTTAATATCTAAGTGTAATATCTATGTAACTATGGTAACCTACTACGACTATCAAATCATTCAACTGGAATTCCAAAGGACAAAACTCTGTTAGTGTAGAAGTGTAAGTGTAAAAAGCTTTTAGTTTTATTCTTCATTAAGTTGATGAATGGTAAAAATCAGGCTGACCTATAGAGAAAACCCAGAGAAGCCTCTGAGTTAGCATCCTCCTTAATGTCCCCCTCATAGCGTCTCAAGGCTAACAGCCAATCAGGGAGCTTCATGCGTCCCGGTAATGAAATAAGAAGGAATATGAATTGATTTTACGATGATACCGCTGGGCCGCTGCCAACGAGCCACCGAGGAAACCTGAGCCTCTCTATCGCCACAAAATACAAGCAGTTCTCTGGAATTCCCAGAATCCCCTTGGTTTGGTCTTTATCTTGGTCGTTCCTGTGCGAGATTAGAGAGGGGAGAGCTAAGTGTCCAGATAACTATCTCCCATACGACGCCCTGCGCAGTGAACGTCCAGACATATCGACATATTGTTTTATTATTCAGAAGTCCTGGTGTGGGTGGTGGTGGTGGTGGAGATGGTGATGGGAGTGGTGGGGGTGGGGTTTTAACGTAATGAGACATCAGGTGAGTGCAAGTTTTGCCCCCCCCCTGCCCCCCACCACACACACGCCCATTTTTGATCAAAATCCCCAACCCACAAGTGCCTATTATTATTTTCGCCTATTCACTATTCTGTCATTTAGCAGACGCTTTTATCCCAAGCGGCTCACAGTAAATTCAGATACATGTCATTAAGCAGCATGGTTAGGGGGCGACTCAGGGGATCGAACCCAGAACCTTTCACCTGGGAGTCGAACACCCTAACCACTAGAATATCCCGCC